CTTAGTATATACCGAAGATCTTACAGATCTATACTCAAGATCTTATAAATCTGTACCTAAGACCTTATGAATCTGTACCCAAGATCTAATTCAAGATCTTGGTACAAGATAATAGTATTATCTTGTACCTAAAATTTCAAGATCTGTTCACTTTTCTGTACCGAAGATCTTGACCAAGATCTTGCTTACAAGATGTTCGACTAGGGTAATCAGTTGTCGAGCCTATTTTTTTCTAATCTAAAATATCAGAAATACTGTGCATGTGTTCTTGCTAGATGACACCAATTTTCAAGAAATTTCTCATATTTTTTCTGATAGCTCGACCAACTGATCCAAGTGTCATCAGGTACTTTATAGGAATGGCCGAAATTCTTACTTCAAGTGGTGAAAATCAAGAAAAGAAAGAGGAGAAGATGGAGGCGATTTCTGAAACGTTATCAATAAGTGATGCACAATTAATTAGATTACAAAAAGAAAATGGTACCAAGACGGCTCGTTCTATTGTGCGAGCATGTTATCCACGAAGTGTTCGGTGCGATACTAATTTAGAAGATATTGATGATGATTTTCGGCAGGCAATTTTTGGTAAGTTTCGTTATTTAGTTAATGTTTAAAACTATGTTCATATTTTAGATTATGTTCAACTAACCCATGGGATGGAAGGACTTACGCAAGGAAAAATTAATGAAAGTATCAATAATGTTTTTCGAAGTGCAAAAAGTCAACGAAGAAGAGATAATAGACAACGAGGTGCATAATCAAATTCAAGTAACTGTACAATAACAGACGAAAAAAAGAAATTTTGTTGCTAAAAATAAAGAAAACTTTTCTTCTAACAAATAGTATATTTTTTTTCTTTCTAAACCATTTAATATTTTAGAGTTTCATTGATTCATGTCATTTCTATTATTTATTTATATTTGTTTCGTGATAGACACTTTACATATTGTTTATTTTGTCTTTCTTTTTTTTTGTTTTTTGTCACCTGTGTTTATATTTGTATACATATATATATAAATGAACAATAAATGCATTGAAAGATGAAAAGAACTGAAACATGAAAATAAGTATACTTTTATTCTTGTTAATAAAATAATAGTGTTGTTGAATATTTCTATATATTTCGTTCGCATTCAATTTCTAAAAATCTATAACTTTCATTTTTCAAAAAATGGAAGATAGAATGGCTATGTGGCGTCTGAATCGTAAGAATTTCGTACATCGACAAAGAATGATGCTTCTTGCAAAAGCAAACGGTCGTTTCTGTGCGTTAAAGCTTAATATTGTTTCCATATAGAATTGTTTTTTGATTTAGTGGAAAAATGTGAGCAACTTAATGAAGAGTTAAGTCATAGAGATGCGGTAATCAATTTCATCGATGAATCTATTGAAACTTCTGCTTCGCCAATTCACGAAGAACAAATCAATTTTGATAATTCTTTACTTTCCAATTCTGCATTTCAAAATGCAGATAAATCTTGTATCTATGACGATGAACAAAATACGTATGTATTAAGTTTCTGGAACGCTGCTTAGATGTCAAAGTTCTAATTTCAGTCTTGCTTGCTTCTGTTTCTACAATAAATAAGCAAAGAATCTACCTTTGTTCTCCAACTTTCTTATTCCGAATAAAAGTCGATTAAAATTCACCGGTTCAACAAAAAAACGCTGTTGCATTTTTTGTCTTGAAAATACGTTAAAAGTTTATTTTTAATGAAATTTTGTGAGCTATTCTACGTTAAATTGTTTCTAACAGCAGAAAACGCGTGAACTTTCGTTAAAAACAACTTTTATAGAAATAGATAAAGATTTAACGATTTTAATTTTAAAAAAATGTTACATCTTTTGTATCGTGAAAACGCGTTAAACGTTTGTTTCTAATGAAATTTCATGAGTTATTCTACGTTAAACTGTTTCTAACAACAAAAAACGCTTGAAATTTCGTTAAAAAAACATTTAACGCGCTTTCGAGGTTCAGATACTAAAGCTTTTTCTCATGAAATCATAGGATTTTGCCAGTTTTTCATGGAACATCGAATACGAGACATTCATTGGGTTGAATCGTGTATATTTTCTAAATTCTTGTATAGGCTCAATACAAGTAAAACATCATCAATACGACCAATAGAAAAAATTGATTTAGCTTCAGCCTTAGCATCATTGAAAACTCGTCATTCCTTATCAGCAGTCTGCATAAACGATATATGCTCATTATTATGTCTTTTAAATGTACCTGATGCTCCTCGTAGTTGGTTTCAAGTTAAAAAAGCATTAAATAAATCATTTGTTTCTCCTCTTGATCGAAAAATATGGTGGATATGTCCAAGTTGCAAAAAAGCAGCTGATAATGCATTTAAGTGTTCGGATCCTATTTGTAGCTGGTGTTTTGCACCTCCGGCGTCAATACCTCTTTATTTTTATACTTTCAACATACGTGAACAAATCAATTCAATATTAGCTATAACAACAGATATATATTTACCAAAACACACAAAAGGTACATCATTTGTAAATTTGCCAATGAGAGATATTTTTGATGGTGCTCATTATAATAAATTGCTTGATAAAGAATCTGGCAAGGTTTTAACTCTGACTATGAATACAGACGGGATACAACCATACAATAGTACTGACAAATCCATTTGGCCTGTCACATTTGTTATAAATGAAGTTAAACGTAATAAGAGATTCTTGTTTCAAAATTTAATACTTGGTGGTATATGGCCTGGTCCAATGAAACCAAAAAGGTTTGAGATGTCAGCTTTTCTTGAAACAATTGTTGTACAACTCAAAGAGCTGGAGCAAGGATCTCACTTTGAATGTCGTTCAGGTGCAAGCTTTGTAAGACAATTTTTAAAAGTATTTTTAATTTGTACATGCATGGACAAACCAGCGCAAGCGTTGGTACAAAATCTCCCCGAACCAACTGCTCAATTCGGTTGCGGCAGATGTGAAATTCGTGGTGAAGATTTAGTCATGCATTATAATTCCTTTATTTGAAAAGTATCACCTAGGCTATGCAGTTCGTTCTTCTCATAACTCTGATCATTTTATCAATTGTTTTCCAATTGAAAGATCTCTAACTCAACCACATGTAAGAACAAACGATCGATATGATCATCTTCTTATAGTTAAGCAACAAAATGATGCAGAAATAGAACGAATAACTGGCCGTCAACTTGATCGCATTGCTAAACGGGAACTCAAGCAAAAAATAATAAAAAACAAACAATCTGAATATGGAATTCTCGGACCTTGTGTTCTTCGTCAGCTTCAATATTTTGATGTTGGATTTAGTTTTTTGTCCGATAATCTCCACAACGTTTACCATGGAGTTTTTGTAAGTAAAGTAGTATGTTTGACGCATTTATCCTCAGTAAAAGTATGTGAAAGTTACCGGTTTATGGAAGAAAAGCTTTCCTTTCTCACCCTAAACACACGTTAAAAAGCTGCTTTTAACAAAATTTCACTCATTTTTTCCCGTTAGAAAATTTTTTAACGAGAAAAACATGGTGAAATTTCGTTAAATAAAATTTAACGGAATATCACTCGTTTTTTCCCGTTAGAAAAACTTTTAGCGGCAAAATTATCGTGAAATTTCGTTAAGTTTTTTTAACGCATTTTCACGGTTCAAAGCTTAAAATCTTTATTCATTAAATCTTAAAAATTCTATCTGTTTTTACATTAAAATATGCTATATTTCGATTTTATTTTCTATAAGAGAAAACTATTGAATCTTTGGCTAAATGTTCGTTACAAGAAAGAAGCTTGGTCGTGTTATCATCATCTTTGTCAACTATCCACAATGCTTCAATCGTTTCGTTTTCCTTCGACAACTTCTCGACGACCTCGTTCACTTTTGAAATTCAAAAAGCTAAAGGCTAATGAATTACGAATGGTTCTTCTATTTGGATTTGTGATTTTTAGAAATGTTCTCAAAGCCAAATATTACGATCATTTTTTAAAATTAGTGTTTGCCATTCATTTTTCAGAGAATCGAGCTATAACTACGATCATGGTTGATAATGTCAAAACTTTGCTGCATGAATTTCTTATTGAATTTCCAAAATTGTACACTGCCAGACACAATCAGCAAGTCGTTCATTCTCTTAATCACATTGGACAAACTATTAATGACTATGGCCCATTGACATCATATTCTACTTTCAACTTTGAAAATAACTTAGGTAATACTGCTGTTTTCTACATATCTTTTTAATATATTGATTTCCCATATAAAAATCAATGAAAAACTATAAGTTTATAGACAAAAAGATTTTTCTTTATTATTCTGAACACGCGCTAAAAAGTTATTTTTAACGAAATTTCACTCGTTTTTCAATTAGTAAAAATGTTTAACGAGAGAAAAATCATGAAATTTCCTTACAAAACATTTGACGACGTTTTCACGGTTCAAAGCTTAAAATCGTTTTTCATTAAATCGTTAAAAGTTGATCTATTTTTATGTTGGTGATACTTAGGTATGATCATGCGAACCATAAAAGGAACTCGTCGAGAAGAACTTGAAATGATTGGAAATTTAAATTTGTTTAGAAGTGCATGTTTACATCTTTATGACTCTACAATGAATGCTGACATTAAAAATTATATTGAAAATATGTTTTCTCGTTCTCGTTATTCTATTACTTCAAAAAATATAGTTCAAACGATTCATTCATCAGGTGCTATTGGGAGAATTTGCAATTTATTTTCAAATCCAAATCTTCGTTTTTTTACATCATTCAAAATTGGATGTGTTCGTTTCACCACTGTTGACTATTCTAAATCAAAAGTAGCAGACGATTCGGCAGTTTTATTTCGACTTAAAGATGAAAGCCATTTTGGTTTGATTACTTCAATATTTATTGATGAAGACGATGACACTTTATTGGAAATATGGCCTATATCTAATCCAAAAACCTTACACATATTTACAAATGGTCAAAACATCGACACTCCATCAGTTCAAGAAGGAAAATTAGAAAATAATAACAACTTTTATTATGTGCCGGCTCATGATATTGTTGAAAAATGTGTGTATTGGAGTAGAAAGTCTAATAATGTGATTTTTTTTCGCTTTCCAAATCTTGAAGAAAGTTCATAATATGTTTTACGATTTATTTTACTTTGTCTGAATAAATTTCAACATCTGCTTCAAAGATCGATAAATAGTTAAACTAGGTTTTAGTACAATTCATGAACGATAATTAACAGGTCGATCATAGTAGGTAATTAAAAACATTCTAGAAAATTTATTAAATTATTTCACATGTGAAAATGAATGTAGAATATAACGATCATTAATACATTAAGTTTAGTTAAAAATAAAAAAACTCAAGAAAATTCGTTAGATTATTTCACATGTGAAAATGAATGTAGAATATAACGATCATTAATACATTAAGTTTAGTTAAAAATAAAAAAACTCAAGAAAATTCGTTAAATTATTTCACATGTGAAAACGAATGCAACGTTTAACAATATGTAATGAGTTAGTTACCGTTAAAACGGCAATCACGCGTGAAAAAGCATGAAAAACCTAACGCGTTTACACGAGTTTTCGGAATATAACGAAAGTTCATGATAATTTTCTTCGTGAAATGTCGTTAATTTGTCTTTTAACGCATTTTTTTGTGTTAATTTTAAGAATCATTTCGTTAAATACCTTTTTATTTTTACATGGGTTGTTCTTAACAAATAATATGACAGTCCAAACTTTTATGGATAATCTATTTATTCCCATGAATAATGATTTTCATATCGGGTGCTTTTATATAATAAGTATAAGTGATTGGTAGAGTTCGATAGTTCAAAAAAAATGGAATCAAGTGATACCTTGAATATTTCAGTTCTTCTGACTCTGAATCGAAAATTTTTTATTGATAATAGGAGAGCTGATGTTTAAGTTTTGCATAATATTAAGCTGAGCTCACTATTGAAAGCTAATGTTTTCATAAAATGTCTCATTTATTGCAAGGATTTTATGGCCGCCATGAATATACTAAGGCTAACAGGAAAAAGAAAGTAGACACCAAGCATAAATATTATCAATATACTAAAATGACGCTAACTTTCATTAAGACTTTTTTATTTATAACAAGGTACCCTTATCAATATAAATCTTTATCAACAAAAAGAATTACACAGCTGCTGATCAGTCATTATTTTCTCAGTTTCTTTTTGTTGCCATATTTTTGGACGGAAGAAATATGACTAACATATTTCTAGAAAAAAATTATTGTATCAGTCAGCTGGTATACCAAAGAGTGGTCGAAAAGTTTAGACTTCGTTCTGCAAATTGACTTTATTTGTACAAAATATATATACAGATAGTTGATCGAAATACACTTTTGTAGAGAATGATTAACAAAAATTTCATATGTCCAACACTAAAAAGAGTAAGCTAAAATTGTAATAACTTTCACTGATCTAAAATTGTATTGTTTTAACAGCAGCAATAAAAAGATTACTTTTTAATTTTTGCATCGACGTTTCGATAAATTTATTATTATTCACAAGATATATAATTTACAATGAGAACAAGAGATATAATCTACAATAAAATACACTAGTTAGTATGTTTAATATTAAATAAAGATACAATTGAGGGAATGAGTAGATATCAACAGACGATGGTAGAATGCAAATTTATTTAAAAGGAGTGTATAAATACGAGAAGGATTTAAGAGATCCATGAAAGAATGCGTGAAGTTATAAGATTCATTAAGATAGATATGGCGTGAAAGCAAGAGGTTAAGCAGCAGCAACTATTGTGTTATTTTGTTTTGTTTGAATTCTTATCCAATGTCAATGCGTCTTCTAGGACACCCTTCAGGATAGACCAAAAGCGGGACTGGGTGTGGGTGTGGGTGTGGGTAGATGTGGGTGTCGGGTGTGGATGTGAGTGTGGGTATGAAGACTGGAATGACTGTTTAAGTGTCGGTATATATGTGAGTGTGGGTATGAAGACTGGAACGACTGTTTAAGTGTGAGTATATATGTGGGTGTGGGTGTGGGTGTTGGTATGAGTGTGTGGTGTGGATGTGGGTGTGAAGAGTGGAATGACTGTGTAAGTGTGGGCATATATGTGGATGTGGGTGTGGGTATGAAGAGTGTAATGACTGTTTAAGTATGGGTATATATGTGGGTGTAAGTATGGGTGTGAGGTGTGGATATGAATAGTGGAATGACTATTTAAGTGTGGGTGTATATGTGAGTGTGTAGTGTGGGTGTGAAGAGTGGAATGACTGTTTAAGCGCGGATATGTACGTGGGTGTAGGGTCATGGGTGATAGGATGTATATGGGGGTCGGGGTTGCTGGTTGATTGAATGTGGGGTTAGGTGTGGGTGTGCGCATGAAAAGTGGAATGACTATTTAGGTGTGGGTATGTATGTTGGTGTGGGGACGTGAGTGGTTGGATGTCGGTGGGGGTTGGTGGCTGATTGTATATTGGTTTATGCGTGGATGCGAAAAGTGGATGAATGTTTAAGTGTGTTTGTGTATGTGGGTTGGAAGCTGATTGGATGTGGATTTAGGTGTGGATGTGGGGTGTGTAAATGTGAATGACTGGAGGTGAGTGTGGAAGATCGGGTGATTAGGTATGATTATGGGCTTGTAATGGCGGATGATTGGGTGTAGTATTTCTGTGAAGCCACACCGAGATCCACATCCATTCACACTGCATATTCACCGTGCCGACGCTCGATAGGTTTTCTAATCATTGCCGTGCTTTGAGTTTGGATTGGATAGGATTGATGTAAACTCTTACGGACTCTCAATGGGCAAGAATTTCTCAAGCCCACTTTCGCTTATTGATTAGCGGCTGAATTTCTTTTGCTCGTACCTATTTGTGTTGAGGCATGACAAGACACTGCTTGGCTATATCCTCATTTGAAAGTTTTGCGGTAGAAAGGTATTTGACTTTCCCTTTACGAGTTGGGTGCGGGTGTGAGTGTGGATGCCTGTTTCAAAGGAAAGAATACTTACACGCGTACCCTACACCCACACCCCGATTTCATTTCTGTCTCAATTTTTTAAAATTAATACTGCAATCATACGTCCGTTATGTTTATGATATTTAATAAACTCGAAGATCTATATAAGAATCATTATAATAAGTTACTTACCGGGATGCAATAATCAAAACAAAATTTTCCAACAAAATGTCAGTGACGATAATTTCCAACTTTGTTGAGTGTTGTGTATGCGAGACGGCTTGTATGTTTATCGAAGATCTCTTTTGTTAGTTGTGCACGATAAAAACACTTTACATATCTTATCTTTCTTCTTTCTACGTCATTTTTTTAAATTCTTGTCAACTTAGCACTTTCTTTAAGATGACTGCGCATGATAACAGTAAAATATGCAACATGGAGAGTAGACGAAGAATAATGGCAATAAAAGAAAAAAAATGACTTGTAAAACGAAATACATTTCAAATGGACTACACACGTCGATATTCATTTATGTATGATCGGATGTTGGTGGCATTTTTCAAAAACAGACAATAACAAGCAATGATAAATTTCGTTTAGTATCAATTAGAAAATTTAATTATCGACAGTGTTAACAGAAAGCAGTTATTCTAAAAATGCATTCAGATTTCTATTTCGTTCTTCAATAGAGAAAACTTACATTAACATGAAGTAGGAACAACTTTTCTATAAGATGATATGAAAATTGATAATTTTTAAAATTATAATGACTCTTCGAACTACATAGAAATTTTAGAAAATCTGAAATATTCATGTTATTTCTCAGATACAGAAAAGATAGAAAATGAAAAACGTTCCATTTATTGTTCGTCATTTGAGTGTGAACTTAAAAAACTTATGCTACGAAACGAATATTTTTTTTAAATTGATTTAGTTATTTTGCTATGTAATGTATGTGAGAACAATCAGTGTTTCGAGATAGTCCTATATGAATAAAAAAAATCGAAATTGAAGACATACTATTCTAAATTCTAATGAGTTTAACTCAAATCTTACTGAACGTACTCTCTCAGATGCTGAAGAATAAGAAAGTTTTTTTAATACAAGTAGCAATATAGACATATTCTGGATATGTTTTCTTTTGGTGACATCTCAAAATTATAAGAAGTTGATTCGGATGAAATTCGAGATTGAAGTAAAATGCGAGCAATTTTGCTAATCGCTTATTGTTGCCATTGTGTATCATTAACAAGTTGTACTTTTTACTTCTATTAATATCATATAGTATTAGGATTGGACCTTTGAACTATTTAATCTGTAACATAATTCATATAAATAATCATTTCCATTAGATATATAAGAAGTTCATGTTGCTCTTTCGTCTAAACTTTAAACATAAAAATCATAGTTCTCTGTCCTTTGAATTATTTCAATTTTTTAAGTCAAATAATCAAATGTACTAAATATTTTCATTTGGACTTGAATTTTTTTTTAATTTGAATACAATCGAAAAACATAGAGAAGCATTATTGATGTAGGAAAAATAGACAAAATAATGATTTAACCTCAAAACAGAACTGTAAAGTAAGATTCTCATTTGAACTTGAAGGTAAAGATATAGTATCAAAGATATCTGATATGGTTTTTAATGTTTCATTTGAAGAGACTCATGCTGACGATTCTTGCATAAGTTTATTTTTAAGAATTTTGACTACTGAATCGGTTGCATGCTGAAGAATTAACAGGAGAATACAAGTTTCCTCAGATGGGTTATTATTATGTTTGTTTTGTGCTTTCGTCTCGTATACATATTTTTTCAAACTTTGAATCGACTTCTATAATTTTCTTATTCTATCATGCTCCTTTCACTCTATTTGTTTCTGTTTTAGGTTGACAAATCT